GTTCATTGACTGATGATTAATTTCTTAATTAATTAATGTACAGCCCATGTTTTCGTATATTTGTCTGATTTATTAACTACACTTGTTTGATTCATATCTTAGATAGATATTGATGGATAACAATTAAGTTTGCTGTCTTCTTGATAGCTGATTATCTTTTATGATCTTACATGATATGTAAGGTAAGTTGGAGGTATGTATAACAGAAACCACTTCTGTTATGTTCTGTTTTATCACAGATAATAATGAAAGATTCAGCACTAATTTTAATGCAATCACAAGTATTTCTTTGAAATTATTTGGCAAAAGGTGTATTTTAACAGCTGTCTTTAAAGAAGCTGTTTTAAAGATTTTGGAAATAAATAATGCTTGTTTTATTGAAATAAAAACCATTACCATTAAGCTGAGGTGTTTTACAAAAATATTTGAAATTGTTAGTCTTAGGAACAGCTGAGCTTGAGATATAAACAGGTAATCTAGCAGTGTTTAACACTACAGAGCCAGATGCCATTCTTCCAAATATTTTGATAACATCCCAAAACCAGTTGATGTTGCTAAATACATCTCAAAGACGTACATCAATATCCATAAAGCATTCTGACTTTGAGTTAGTTACTAAGTTACCTCTTACCGACCTTGGACATTTTCAATAATATCCATGCAATGGTTATCAAATAGGACCATAAGCAGTATATATGTAACATACAATAACTACAGTGTATATGTAGTTGATCCATGAATATACCAAGACAGCCTGTGGCTGCGTCATTGAGACTTTCCATAAACAATCTATCCATGGTTTGTAACAAATATGGATTTATCTAAGTCTTTCTTTAACCAGTGACAAACAAAATAGACAGGCCATACATATTTACCTCCCCATGGATATAACATACAATTACAACCAGTCAGAAACTGTCATGATAACATATAATCACAGTCTGTCCATCATCCATGGTCTTAAAATAAATGTCTTAACCCAGGCTGCCCAATCATCCATGGTCTTAAAATAAATGTCTTAACACAGTCTGCCCATGAACAATACCACATAATTATTAAAAAAATCTTCCTTCTTGTCATAAACATGATACATGGCACTTTATGTTATCAACTTGACACCAGGTACAGTTAGTTTTAGAGAGTACTTCACTATTTTGACAATGATTAAATCCAGTCAGACAAGATGTAGAATATTGTCATATTACAAAATTGTCTGTTATAAATATCTCTGTAGAAACAATCATTACTGATAGGATAATGGAAATTTCCAAGCTCAGAAAACACTAGATCATTATTGACCTTTCTGAGTTTCAATAAGAAGCAAAGTCCTGAGGCTTGCTGTCACAGAACTATTGTTTAATGTGAGAAACATCAAATATTTGTTAACAGCCAGGAACAGAATGGTGATGTATCAATACACCATGATTAGCTCATACAATATACATTTATATATTACAAGACCTGAAACCTTGTAAATGCACAAACACATATTAATACAAAAGGTTGTCCTCACATATCTTTGATGTATATATCTGATTCCCCCACCCCCTGCAGTCACCCATTTGTCACTGTGGTTAAGTTTTTGTGTGTAAGCTGGTATCTCCATCACTAGTGAAGGAAATGGACACTTGTTCTCTGTGTTTATCTAACATGATTGGCATAAGTCCCATAACTCTGATTTTTTTTCATAATTATGCCCCTTTTTTCACTTAGAAATTCTAGGTAAAGTTTTTGTGTGTATAACTACTGAAGGGTTTGTGCCTTTTTTGGGACAATTTTATGCATTCATGATAATAAAGCAATGATTAACTCGATAAAACATCTTAATAACAAGCCTTTGTACCTTTTCGGACAATTTTATGTATTCATATAGGTAAGCATTATTATACTCAATGAAACATCCTTGTGACAACTTTTTCGAATAGTCCAGCGTAACTGTCCTCAAACAGTTCTTGTTTTGGTGCTAGTCAAATTGATGATAGTCAACACGTGGAAAATTGAAACAGACTAGCATTAGTTATTCATTGTTTGCTAAAAATTTGTCCTGGACTTGCCCATGTAAACATTTATCATTTTTGGGGGAATTAACTATATAAGAACTGACTGCAGACCATGACTAGACAGGACATATGTGCAAACTGATATTGGTCTGCACTGGTCATTGTGGGTAGAATAAGTTGCTGCCAGTAGGCTAAAGGTTAAAATTGCAATATGGTTTGACTCTATCATAATATATTAAGCAAAATAATATAATATTTATATGGCAATATTATTGGTTTGACCATATCATTGCATACTAACCACAGATAATTGTTTGAACTATCATGCACTAAGAAAGTGCAGATGTTATAAGTTAAAGAAATTATACATTTTCCATTTAAATATACAAACTTAAGAATATACACGACTAAAGTTAAAAATGTCACTTTAAATAATCCTTAATCTTGCACTTGATGACATCAGGCTGATAACTTGTTTATTTTTGTATGAAAGTGGTAAACAATCACCATCATATAGACAGGGTGCTGTTTAGGAATGTGTGAAAATGTTATCACCTAAGATGGCATAGACTACTTAAACAAATAAATTAATTTTTTGATGTAAGTTAAAACAGCCTTAAAGATTTTTTTAAAAGCCTATATACATAATTTATAATGCTGATTATCATAAATGGACTTATCCATCTTTCAATCTGGACATAACTAATATTCATTATTTTTACTGAAATTTTCGAATATGCACTGACAATATTTTACAGTGCAGGCCATGATAAGACAGCACAGATGTGCCAGCTGATCTTGGTCTGCACTGTTTGCATGGATAGCATTGGTTGCTGCCAGCAGGCAAAACGTTTAGATCACCTTACCAAACTATTAAATTTGACCTTTACGTCCCTTGATATTTAAGTGCACTTTTAAACTAGTTTAAAACCTCTTGTTTGGTTAAAGTGACCGATATATAAAGTGGCGGTTAATAACCTAATACTGTAAACAGGGCAGATCGTCCGATTTACCAATAAAGTTATCTTTAAAACCAGCGAAGGGTGGTTAAAAATATTTCATGAGTGCTTTGTGTACAGAGACATTGAAAAAAAGAAATACATTTGTTGTTGTTTTTGACATACCTGTAAACAGATGTTTTAAGTTGTTATGACATGAATTATTGTAATTAACCGAATTAAGGTCGATCTAGATATTGTTTTAAAATGCGATATATTTTTTATATACTCTGTAAATACACTGTTATAATTTAGAAGAATCAGTCCTGAGGTGTCTACAGAACATGTAAACATGAATTTTTGTTATATTTAAGATGTCATTTTACAAGTGGGTGGTATTGTATACATGAAGATGTAATGACCATCAAAGTACCGATAAATAATAACTGACCAGAACACCTGCGGGGCAAATTAGCAATTAAGCATGAGCCTGTGGGACTTTACAAATGGTTTGATAAGTGTTTAATGACCATTTTATTGTTGGTGGTCACTGGTGAATAAATAACATTTTACTGTAAAACATTATCAGTTCTGTGCTCCATAAAGGTAAATAAAACAGTAGTTTCTAAAGAGTCTTGCTCTTTGCTTTTGTTACAATAGCATTTTATATGCTAATCTTGCATTGCACTGAAAAATCAGCAGTGACTTTGGAGACATAATGATAAGATTAAATTAAGCTTCTTTAGGATAGTACAGTGTAATATTGCATCATAAAGTCTTTATGCATGTGAATGAACATAAACACCATTTGATATGAAAGAAAAACATAGCTCAATGGCAGGGGATTATTGCATTGTTTACATATACTACAAAATGTTACTTTGACTTAAAGGGACTCCACTGAGGTTTTTTTACATGATGGGACTGGATATAAGTGTTCTGTTAGATGCAGGTCTAGACTAATAACTTGTGTTCATTTGCTCTCTTATGTTTTTCCAGAAAAAATATTCTAATTGTAAAAAATTACCAAAAGATATAAACGTTATGAAACTTTTCAATAAAATCAGGCTAAGAATACCATGAAAATATGATTTTCAATTGAATTTATTTGAGTATATTTCTTAATAATCTTTTGCAACTGTATCTTACTAATTTAAGTGCCCCTGCTGATCTATTTAAGAAATTCATATATTATATTTTTAGGCTTTTTAGACCTCAATGGAGTTCCTTTAAGCTTTATAACTTGAAAATTATTATCTAGCTCCATGGGAAATATTTAACTTAAATTCATCTGTGGCTGTATTTTAAAAAAAAAAACTTTTATGAATTTACTTTGAGGGTAATGTAGACAGACAAGAAAAAATGAAATAACAAGTTGTTTCATTATACATATAACACTATGCAACATACTCAAACAATATTATAAATCAAAGTGTGTGTGAGCATATGTAGAAATAGTACCTTCATTATTAAATTATTGATCTGAAACAAGGCCTTTTTTAAGGAGACATTAATTAAAAAGATTTATCCAGAATGTTTAGTCTATTTTGACAGATAGTTATGAATGATACTCCTTTGTATTATTATGTGTTGTTGTACATTTACGTGTCATAAAATTGGTTTAATTGGCTGTATTGTTCTTCTTGTACTCACATTTTGTTTTTCTAAGATGTGAAGGTCATTGAAGCACACCTCCAATTTCAACCAATGAAAAAGTGTGTATGTGACACAACCACCAAAGTTATGCATATTCATAAATTAATGGTCTCCGTGCAAAAATGCATATTTAAGATGACATATGAAACTTTGTCTAAATTCTATAGTTTTCCATTTATTTTATATTATTCCTTTAACGCAGATATGGACTTAACTAAAGTTTTCCCCTCCACATAACTTACTACAGTATATCATTAATCTACTATTAATAGCTTTGTAACTCCTCCTCCAGCGGTTTATGAATACATTAACTGATTTACCAAACAGCTGACTTTTCCGATGTTTGTGATCTTGGTTGTTTTTGTCATGTAGTATTTCCAAATGTATTAAATTATTATAAACAGTTCTTGCATTTTGTTTCTTCACTCAGACTATGCAAGTTTAAAGTTTATGCAACCGAAATTTTAATATATTTATTTCAGATGCAAACATTAAAACTGCTGTACTTTTTAGATATAATCCATAGTTTGTAATTATAATGTGCAGTGATTGTATTGATATTAATGGAAATTATTCATATGAGAATATAACTTCAATGCGTTTACGAAGATCACACACAGACATTAATATGTGTATTAGGAATTTAAATCAGTCGGAAAAGGTAATGTTTATAAATTGTTCATGCATATTTGCTAGATTTTAATACAGTAAACCGAAGTACGATAAAATTTAATTTCTGTACTAATTGCTAATGTACTGTACTGTAGACATGAACTACAATATCTATAATTTTGTATTTTTACAACAACTGTGATGGTTTTATTACTTGTTTGAAACTTATTGTCTTTTAATTTTGTACCTCTTAAATATACAAAGCAAGAACCCCCTCTGTAGCCTCATTTTATCTAACATTCGTGTATTGTCGGAACAGACGAAAATTAATCGATGCAAGTGTGTCGGGTCATAGGTTAAATCATGAGATCAGCTGTGAAGCAGGAGAGTTAATTTGGAAAAATTGTTTAACAAAAAGCGGAATTAAGACTTTAGTTTTGTACTTTATTAAAAGAAATTTATCAAATGGTGCCTTTGGATAGTGTTTGTTTAGATGCCGATGAAGTTCCTGTAAGTTGGTTTTGTAAACTTGTTTTATTACATGATTTTTACTGAGCGTTCCTGTACATGTCCGTACCGGCGACGGTTATTTGGAATATCCAAATCCTTTGTGTTCCTGCAGAACTAAATTTGGTCACTTCTATTGTCTGAAATGGACTTTTTTAAAATAAAAATTAGAGTTTGAATTCACATATGTAATGAAGGCATTTAACAAAAAGAAGAAATGACGTTATAATTGTGCAAATTAGATCTACTTGAGTTGTTTATTTACTCAGATTCCTGAAACCACATAGATCTATACATTTTACTACACAGTTAAATGCAGTAACTCTACTGTATCATTATTTATTTTATCAATAAAAAAAGCCAAAATGAATATACAATTATAATTTTGAAAACATTTTATTCAGATGATATGATACCCAAAAAAAAAAAAATAGGTTCAGTAGATCTACAATTATTTAGAATGAAATTTTGAACATCAAGAGATTTAAAGGAAAAATCACTGGCCGTCGGGGAAATGAGAAGAAGAACTGAAAAAAACTCTTCTTAAGCTTATTTTAATAATGATACATTTTCCTTTTTCTTGATCAGGTATTTGTGTCACTGGTCATTGTCAACTTACTATTTTGACATCATTCTGTATTTTATACTGGGTAATGGAGTTTTTGTCTCAATTCTCATAACTTTGAATTGTATATAAACTAAGATATGCCAGTGAGACAAATTTTCATAGTTGTGGTCAGTGTCATGTAACAAGATTATTACCATTATATCATTATTACACACACTCCTTTTTTTTGTAATCATCCACACCTTATTACAAACAGTACATGGGAATGTTTTAAAATGTATTATTAATTAAACTGAACATTTTACAGCTTTGTCAGCTTTTTATATCTATATTTGATAGCAAATTTATGATGTACAAGAAATGCTGCAGTATAATAATGTACATTATAAAACAAATTTATAAATTTTAGTATGTGACCATACCTGTTAACTATGTTATGGTTAAAGTTTATTAGTATGTATTTACGAAATTAAATTGGTCAGGGGCGGCATGGCTGCGCAACCAACTTAATTTTGTAAATCTTACTAATAAACTTTAACCTTTTTAGTGTTTATTTACTAGACTGATTCACAGTTTGCTGATTTACCAAAGTATATGTGTTACGATTCATTTGAAATACTGCAATCCTATTGGACAAAAAATAATTTCAAACACTAATTACTATTTAAGCCAAATTAAGGCAGCATAAAATGAGTACCTGTAACTATGTTAAAGTACATTGATCTTATATTGTTTATATTTGTATATTTTCAGGTTGTTTCGGTTGACTGCAAAGATGAACAGGTAAGCCACTTCAAGAATATTAGATAAAATAACCAAGTTGTCTCAATAAAATCTGTTAAATTTTATGTAAAATATCTGTAAAGATAAACAGTGTTGTATTACAACATATACAATGTCAAGACATCATTAATATGGCATATACATTGCTTATAGTCTCACTTTCTGTAAGGTAGTAGACATTTTCTTATGAAGTTATATCATATTAAAATCAAATATTTAAAGCTGAAAATGTTCTAGTAGGTCAGTATTGAACTGGCAACTGGCTTCATATTGCTAAAAGAACAAAGGACAATACTTTATTATCCCTTAAATCACATATTTTTTGCAAATCAATTATTTAAGTAATTTTTAACCCTAAATTCAAATAGAAATTTGAAAAAAAATAATCATAAACTATTAAATGGGCTTGGTTTGCATTGTTTTTAAAGGGCAAAAATATCCTAAAATTAGACTTTCTTTTTTGGATTATGTTAGAAAAAAACTGTGTCTATGTCCCAAGCAGGGGTTTGACTATAGACGGAAGATAGATAGGAAAAGAATTATCTTTACTTATTATTAATAATTATTTTTTTACATAAGATGATTTGTAACTTTTTCCTTTTAAAGAACTAAAAAAAATCTTTACACCAATCAGCATATTTTACTTGATATAAACAACCATGATGCAATCCCACAGTCAGTACACATTGTACTATTGTAAATATTTTCTCACTACCAGGGTGGGTAAATCATGCCCATTGATCATGTGTTAACATCAGACCAGTAGCTATAGTACAATGTAATATTATAGTATGGGGAAGGTTTTTAGCTGGTAACTATTGAAGTGTTATAAGAAAGCTGATGCAATACTTGCTAATAAATATCTCCGGCAAACCAATATTTTATCTCATTCTCTCACTAACACATACCAAGATAGAAGTTGTAAAGTTGTAAATATTGTTAATTATGATGATAATAGCCAGGAAAAGTTGTGAAGAAGTATTTGGATGTTACCTTGTTTCAAAGCCTAGTTTATTGTTGAGTTCAGGACGAGAACCATTAAAGGAACATTTGAACGCCTCGAATAGTGGGACGCCTTTAGTATAAGAATTAATTAAGACTGAGCAGGAATATGGGATTCTGCTTAGTAGGATCGCAAAAGGTATTGTGAAAATTTCTGTGTACTATTTTCGTATCAAGTGGTTCATTTTATTAAATTATTTCCAAATAAGAGTAAAGTTTCCTTTTTGACTTTTCAATCTAAACATTTCTGTAGGGTTTAATACAAATTTGTTCGGGAAATGATGAAGTCTAGTTTTAATGAGTAGTTCTTTTTTGTTGAGTTTAAGCACTTGGTTTAGTTATTAGTTTACAGGTTTGGAATGACACTGGGTCACTAGGATTTAGTTAGTTAAAACTTTGAGGAAGCCTTCAGTTTTAGTGAAAGTTGGATGGACATTGTATATCTAAAATCAGTCAGTGTTTGATTATGTATAGGTTAGACCTGGTAATATATTAATAAAAGCTAAAGTATTGTTTAATTGATAATTTTAAGCCAGATTTTTCTTGTTCAAACAGTTAAGATTAAGTTGGCTTTGCTTAATCTACAATAGTTACCGCAATTTCAGTGTGACCCTAATAAAAAATTTGTTATATTGTTTAATAATATAAATTAATGATGCAACAGAATGGATATATTGTTTAATGATATTAACAAATGATGCAACAGAATGATTCCCCTAAGTTTATTAAAATAACTTCAATCTTTGAAGAGTCGTGATGATGTTATATGTGTCTATTTTTATCAGCTTACTGGTCTGTTGTTATGTGCATTTTGATTGGTTTGTTAAAATTGATGACTGCAGGAAATTTTCAACTTCGGATTGATGAAAAACAAAAAAAGATTAGTTTGCCTAGAGGTTTTTGATAAAGTTTATGAAGTACAAAGTAATTGTCATAGATAGGACGGGAAGATAGATTGTTTAAGGATGATGAAAGTTGATTGTATAGCTTCACTTGTGAAATATTGAAATTGATAATAATTAATTTATAATTGATAAATGATGTGAGAAAAATAGAAGATTAAATCTTGGTTATATTAATATCATAAACCCTTTCCTATATTATTTATCTTTTTTTTTTAAATTCATATTTTTTTTCATGACTGTAGATCTAACTTTTTCCTGTAAATAAACATTAAATATTTTTTTTGTCTGATGATGATTTAGTTGGTCAATACAAAATTAATATAATTATATATGTATAGATAATGTTTAGTTGGTCAATACAAAAATATATATGAGTATACCTCAAAGTTTGCAACAGCCGAGCTAGGGTAACTTTAAGTTCAACATGATTGAATGACCAGCTGGTGCAATACTTATTATATAAAATTGCTGATAAATGAAGATAGATAATTTGTCATGGGATACTTTTATCATTACTGGATAACTGGACGAGTGACCAACAGATTACTACATTACTATATATCTTTGATGTATTGATAAGTGAAAGTTGAAATATTTGATAGAAGAAAAACTGATGTTTGACTACCCTAGCCTTGACTGATGGCCGTCAAAGGAAAAAGACTGATTAGTACTCCAAAAATAAACTTATACAAAAGGAAATGAGTGTTTGAGAAGAGTTCAAGTGTTGAAATAGTTTCAACATAACCTTGTAGAATCTAATATAGAAAATATTCTGACAGTTTTATTAAGTATGAGAATATATAATTAGAAATGATGTTGAAAAGATAAGTTAAGAACATTGTAAGATATGAAATTATTTTTGTATATCGTTATACAATAATGCATTACAGATCTTCAATTCTTTCAGTGCAAACTATTAGAAAACATTTTACAGGCAATAGTTTTTTAGCTCGACTATTCGATAAGAATAAGTAGAGCTATTGCAGTCACCCGAGCGTCGGCGTCGGCGTAACCACTTATGTGAAAGTTTTCGTAATAGTTCAAATATTTTCAAAGTCCATTGACATATGGCTTTGAAACTTTGCACACTTGTTCACCATCATGACCCCAACCTGTAGACAGGAGATGGTAACTCTATCAAGCATTTTGACAGAATTATGCCCCTTTTTCGACTTAGAATTTATGTTAAAATTTTTGTAATAGTTCAAATATTTTCAAAGTCCATTGACATATGGTTTTGAAACTTAGCACACTTGTTCACCATCATGACCCCAACCTGTAGACAGGAGGAGGTAACTCTATCAAGCATTTTGACAGAATTATGCCCCTTTTTCGACTTAGAATTTATGTTAACCCATTACCAGATATATACGCCTTTCTACGCCTTTTTCACCCCCCCCCCCCCCCCCCCTTTTTGCTTCCTCAAATGGTGAAAAAATGCCTTATTAAGGCCCCAAAACACTTGTTTTTGTTTGAGAAATGTTGTTTAAAAAATTGACCACTTTTTCGGCGTGGCCCCCCATCCAAAAGATACATCAGGGGGTTGCCAGAAGGGGGATGTGCCCCCTTCTGTTTGGGGGGTTTGAAGGGGGGCGGAGTCCCCCTCATCGCCAAGAAAATTTTGGACTTGTGGGAGGCTAAAAATGGCCCCAGGTGGATTATAAGGTAACGTGTAACCAAGGCTGAAAAGCCTTTGACTCTATCTCGATCCATTGAGAAGTGGCAGCACTTTGAAATCAATTTGGATGGAAAAATTCAACGCAAAATAGTGATTTTTGGCAATTTTGAGATGTCCCCTAGTTGCCATGGTAACAGAAAATTTCAGACTGAGCATGTTGCTACAAAGGCAATGGTCCAGTCAACATTTGTGCCAAGTTTGATTAGTATTGAAGCAGTTTTTATAGTTTTATAGCAACCTGAACTTGTAACGGGAGACTTTTCAATGAAAACAGCCATTTTTCCCAAAATGCTCATCGGGTAATGGGTTAAAGTTTTTGTAATACCTTAAATATTTTCCAAGTCCATTGACATATGGCTTTGAAACTTTGCACACTTGTTCACCATCATGACCCCAACTTGTAGACAGGAGGAGGTAACTCTATCAAGCATTTTGACAGAATTATGCCCCTTTTTCGACTTAGAATTTATTAGCTCGACTATTCGATAAGAATAAGTAGAGCTATTGCAGTCACCCGAGCGTCGGCGTCGGCGTAACCACTTATGTTAAAGTTTTTGTAATAGTTCAAATATTTTCAAAGTCCATTGACATATGGCTTTGAAACTTTGCACACTTGTTCACCATCATGAGCCCAACCTGTAGACAGGAGGAGGTAACTCTATCAAGCATTTTGACAGAATTATGCCCCTTTTTCGACTTAGAATTTACGTTAAAGTTTTTGTAATAGTTCAAATATTTTCAAAGTCCATTGACATATGGCTTTGAAACTTTGCACACTTGTTCACCATCATGACCCCAACCTGTAGACAGGAGGAGGTAACTCTATCAAGCATTTTGACAGAATTATGCCCCTTTTTCGACTTAGAATTTACGTTAAAGTTTTTGTAATAGTTCAAATATTTTCAAAGTCCATTGACATATGGCTTTGAAACTTTGCACACTTGTTTACCATCATGAACCCAACTTGTAGACAGGAGGAGGTAACTCTATCAAGCATTTTGACAGAATTATGCCCCTTTTTCGACTTAGAATTTACGTTAAAGTTTTTGTAATAGTTCAAATATTTTCAAAGTCCATTGACATATGGCTTTGAAACTTTGCACACTTGTTCACCATCATGACCCCAACCTGTAGACAGGAGGAGGTAACTCTATCAAGCATTTTGACAGAATTATGCCCCTTTTTCGACTTAGAATTTACGTTAAAGTTTTTGTAATAGTTCAAATATTTTCAAAGTCCATTGACATATGGCTTTGAAACTTTGCACACACTTGTTCACCATCATGACCCAACCTGTAGACAGGAGGAGGTAACTCTATCAAGCATTTTGACAGAATTATGCCCCTTTTTCGACTTAGAATTTACGTTAAAGTTTTTGTAATAGTTCAAATTATTTTCAAAGTCCATTGACATATGGCTTTGAAACTTTGCACACTTGTTCACCATCATGAACCCAACCTGTAGACAGGAGGAGGTAACTCTATCAAGCATTTTGACAGAATTATGCCCCTTTTTCGACTTAGAATTTACGTTAAAGTTTTTGTAATAGTTCAAATATTTTCAAAGTCCATTGACATATGGCTTTGAAACTTTGCACACTTGTTCACCATCATGACCCCAATCTGTAAACAGTAGGAGGTAACTCTATCAAGCATTTTGACAGAATTATGCCCCTTTTTTGACTTAGAATTTACGTTAAAGTTTTTGTAATAGTTCAAATATTTTCAAAGTCCATTGACATATGGCTTTGAAACTTTGCACACTTGTTCACCATCATGACCCCAACCTGTAAACAGGAGGAGGTAACTGTATCAGGCATTTTTTTTACTATCAAGCACTAAGAATAGTCGAGCATGCTGTCCTACCGACAGCTCTTGTGTTAAAGTTTTTGTAATACCTCAAATATTTTCAAAGTTCATTGACATATGGCTTTGAAACTTTGCACACTTGTTCACCATCATTACCCCAACCTGTAAACAGGAGGAGGTAACTGTATCAAGTATTTTTTTTTACTATCAAGCACTCAGAATAGTCGAGCGTTGCTGTCCTTGTTTAGCTTTAGAATGTAATTAGAACTTTTGCTAATGTTAGCTTTGCAAAATTTTATGCTATGAAGATACTTGATACAATATTGTAAATTAAAGGCATTTTGCAAATAATGTTCTTTTTAATTTTGATATATCAATAATGAATTAATTAATGAATAGTGAGTTAGAACACAACAAGTCTATTACACAGTCTTCATTTGGTAGGAAATTTTTTACTGTTTGGGGGGGGGGGGGGGAAGGGGATAAAACAGCATACATGTATATAGAGGTGATCAGTTTATACTTGTATATATACATTTTATAAACATTGCATCAGTTGTACTATATAGGAAATTTACATATAATAATACCAGCTTTTCTTTGATTTATAATTATAATCTGTTTTTCCTTATAATACTTGAGCTTTTATGAAAGAAGGAATGGTGTTAAACACGGATTAACATGGATTAACATTTAACTAAATACATTTATAATATCATGATATATTACAGTTATTATGTTTTATAATGATCTGGTGCCATAATATATAATACACTGGTACCATAATATTATTTGGCAAATTTGTTGAAAACATTAATTCTTAACTTTTTCCACAATAACATGATTAGAAAATCAGCCAGTTACCTGACTTTAAGGTCAAACTTGTAGTTGAATGGTGAAAAATAAAGATTGCATCAACAATATAATTAATTTAATTTAATGTTATTGAATTTTATTGCGGATTTTCATTAAATTTTATAAACAATGGATATTTTAAACAAACAAAATTATGTGTGAGAAGTTATGTGAAATTATTGTTTGTAAGTTTAGTTTGGACTACACAACATAAATAAAGTTTTCACCTTAGCTGAAAAGGTATTTTTGTTCACTTTAATTACTCAACTGTTCATTTCTAATTTCCCCTATGATTTTCCTGCATGCACTTCCTTCATAATATTATCAATCGATTTTCTAGTCTGTGGCTAAGGAACTATTGTGCATTCAAAATATGTGGAAATATTTGCAGTGAAAATAAGTTGTCATGGAATTCATTGATTCCAAACTTTCTAAATATGACTCATTTTTGATCCCATGCTTTTATTGTATATTACATTACAAAATTATTACAGTCCTATTGTAACACATGTTTCTATTTCTCATCAGTAAAGAATTTTCATAGAAAATTAGAAACACAGAGAAATTCGTTTCATTCTTTCAAGAGCCTGATTAAAGCGCACACAAACTTTTTGCGGATTCAGGATCATGATTGCTTCCTTATTTGGTATTATTATATTTTGGTTTTCAACAGCAAGCCAGTTGTCGACCAATTTCCGGCATGTAATGTTAATGTGAATTTTACACAAATGAGAACATGTTCAGAATTGATATTGTGCATACAAGGAAATCATTAACAATGTTTGATGAATCTTTTGATAATAACTGAAAGCTTTATTTAAAGATTTCTTAATCAAGATTATAAAAAATCATTGTCTTGCTGTAACAGGGGTTAGTATTTGATATTCAACTTGCAGAAGGTATGATAATGTTAGCAATTTTGTTTTATCAGGTAAAATTTTGCAATAAGTTATTATTCTGTATTTTTCACTTGTTTCAAAAGATTAGATTGTGTTTTATTATAGGGAGCCATCTTTGTGTATTTTCAGACCCAGATGTTGTTCATTGATGCGTTTATCCAGAATAATCGTCTGGATCACATAACCCAGATGATGGGTTATCACCCAGACTACTTGGATTGTTTCCTCCGCACACAACAGTACCTGCTGCGAGGAGATGGTCCATTACCCTACCACTACAGACATTACATAGCTATAATGGTAGGTATTGTAACAGTCAATTCTTACACATTGTGTAAGGCCAGTGGCCAAATATGTATACCTAAGGCTAGCTTTATATTGTAGAAAGGCAAGTGGCTCCATCCTGCTGCATACACCCGTGTTTGAAATTGCTCATGCGACGAAATATGTTGGTCTTGCCAGTATTTAAAGTACAAAAGTTGTCAATCGCACTATGGCCTTTATACTGCATACATGCATACCTGAATGTGCTTTCCTTGCCATTAAATGAATTGATATATTAGCAATTTATTAGAACTTGCAATTTATTTCATAAAATATCTATTGAAGTCGGGATCTCTATCAATATATTGTACAGACAGAACTCCGACTTGAGCTGTTTTGTATAACTTTTGCAATATTCGTTATTAATTACCATAGAGCTGAAGTAAATGGTCACCTAGGGGACAGTTGCCATTGTATAAACGTCAGATAATGGATTAAATATATACATACTATGTAATGAAAATTATCACATCTTTTTATGTGAGAATTACCTACTTTATTAGTAGGTTATGACCTCATGTATATATTATGTGCATGTACATTATGGGATTGGGTATAATGCCCGACTTAGAAAGAAGAAAAGAAATAAGTTTAAAACTATTCAACAATGATGAATAGAATAAGATTGGTTAATTTGTCCCCCACTAATTGTTTTCCTAAATAACCTTTCTGTTCTTTGTCTTGAATCAATATGTTTTTTGTTATCAATCTTCTGGTTTAGATTAAGGTTCAAGGCTAGTTATTTAAATATAGTGTATTTTATTGTGTCATGTACAGAGATCAGCTGTTTTGTGGTTACACAAAGATAGATTAGTCACCAGTTATCTTAAACGTTCATTCAACATTATCTCTATGAAATTGATAGATCACCAGCTGATCTAAATGTAGGCAAATTATCTACCTTGGTAAATAATATGTGCTTGTCTTGGTGATTTTTTAAACATTCTTTGCTGTTTAAAATGTTTATTATAGCTGTTACCCAGCATACTTTTACATTTTGTTCTCCAAGGACAAAGTTCAGCTATGATAAGAAAGAAAATAATTCAGTGAAAAATGAAAACAAACCTTTATGCAAAGGTAGATGTTCTTGATATAAAATAAGTTTAAATCAACATTGACCTTAATCCGTAATTTTATTTTAAGATTTTTGAGCCCTAATTGGCTCATAACAATGGTGTGATTTCATTACTTGATTTAAATCTATTTTATTTTCCACTTTGGTTATGACCTAGATTTGTGAAGTTGGTCAACCTTTTGTCAGTAGAGATCATTGTACTTGTCGTAACATAATCTGCCTGCTTTGGCAATATATAACTTTAACTGACTTAAGAAAAGACTGACAGAGTTTTGTCAGTCAGCCAATATTAAACTGTACCTCAATCAAATGCTGGTAATTGTATTTCTTTCCAATTAAAAAGAATATTTATTAAGTTATTGCTGAAATTAAATCTTATATAAGTAAACAATTGACAATTTTTAGATTATATTAGGCTGACATTGCATTTTATCCTGGAACATTGCCATTTTGTTACGGCCTATTTGTTTTTCATTTTTCAAAAAAAAATATTTATCATATGTCTTTCAACATTAAATTTATTAACACTAGGTGAGAAAGTGTAATGTGAATTGTCACAAGTTGAATGTTGATAGAAACATTTTGCACAGGATGAATGGGGTGAATTTGGGTGATGAAAGAATAGATTTTGTCAAAATATTGATGAAGATTGTGATGAAAGGTGACAAAATGAAAGGTGACACTTGGCTTTGTCAGGTAGAATATAAATGTGGAACAAACTGTAGAGGACCGAAAAAAGACACATTCAGATACCCAACCAGTGCCATTGTACTGCTATATATTTATGTAATTTCACTTTCATTTCTTTTTATCAATCAGGCTGCTGGTCGACATCAGTGTAGTTATCTGGTTAACCTTCATACACAAGAGTTTATATTGGCGGGAGGTGATCTCACATGGTTGGATGGTGTGCAGTTTATACCACCAAAGTTACGAGACTTGTACGATATCAACAAAATACTTGCACATAGGCCATGGCTTATAACAAAAGACCACATATCAGTAAGTGTCATAGAACTGTAACAAAAAAAATCTCACAATTTGATAAAAATAAAAGATTGAAAATGATTGGTAGCTTATTTTTAACAGTATGCTAATGGATATGGTTTAATTTTATAAAGGAGAGCAACAAGTTCTTTGTGTATTAAATGTATGTTTCATTATTGACATGTAAATAGGTTAAAAGTTGGGAGATAATGATTAAAATATTTTATCTTCCAGAAACTTACAAAAGGGAAAGACAATTGGTCAATATCTGAGCTTGTACATGCGTTGATATTGTTGTCACATTTCCATGCACTGTCAAGTTTTGTATATGGTTGTGGTATAACTCCTGAGGTGGACCATGAAGGAGGGTATACGTATAACAGCAGTAAATCATCACCGTCGATGAGTAATGGAAACAGTAAATCTTCCAGCAAGCACTCGTCACCTTCTTCTTCATTCTCTGAGGTAATGACACACACCTCTTTCAAATATATTCTCTAAGTGGCTATAGTAAATTAAAATGTAGTTACAGCTCTGCTAATCAAGTAATAAGGTTATAGTTTCTCTGTATCATAAGGGTAATTGTAGTTCTCGCAAAGTGAAATATTATTATTGTATATATACAATAATCTTTGATAAGTTTGAATGTAGAAAATGCTATTTGTGGGCTGTATGAAGGACCAATGTCTAATGTTATTAAGAATTTTTCCAAGCTCAAACGTGGATCCACAGGTATTTGTTCGGTCAGAAGCTGGTTCAGAATGTGCATTGATAATTGCAAATCCTGAGATCCGAGACAGATCTCAAAAAAAAAGAGTTTTGTAATTTCACTTGCTAAAGTAGTAACTAGCATTTCGTCCATACGACTGGTTTATAAAATATAATTGTGTAACAGTGTAGAAATAGTGAAAGTTTCAGCAAAATGTATACATTTTATATGTATTACAGTCTGGTGGAGATCTGGGTATAGATGTATTGATGGAGAGGATGAAGAGACTTACAGAATCTGATGATACGATGGAGATGACCTCAGAAGAATTGTTACAACAGTTTGAAAAGGTCGAAAACCAAAGTGCTGAAAGTAAGTGATATGTTATAGTCAAATATGAGGGGGTATGAATATAGAAAACTTAACTTATAATAGAGACAGAATCTACGTTATAGTCAGATATGAAGGGGTATAAATATAGAAAAATCAACTTGTGCTAGAGACAGAATCTTTCGAAAAGTAAGTTTTAAATGCTTGTATGATTTTATTGAATATTTTTTCTTTGTAAACATATCACTATAATAAGATCATCTCATCAATTTTTCAGTCACAACAAGTGCTACCATACCTACGCCAAAGAAAGATGTATTAAAATTTGTGATGGAACCTGACTTTGTTTACCAAGACTTTGCAAAACGAGGAAGCCCAAGTGATATTCCGTCATTCCGGGCACAGGAGTATTCTTGGGAAGATCATGGCTTTTCTATGGCCAATAGATACTACTCAGAAATTGGAACACTCTTGGATGACAAGTTCACATGTGCTTATAACTTGACTTATTACACGTAAGTTATTTCTTGCCATTTAGTGAATAACATTTAGATAATCTTGGCTATCTTTTTTTCAATTAGTTTGAATTTATTCATGATTGATATATCAGTTTAACATAATAATTCTAAAAAAAATTTTGTTGTGGAGAACATACATCATTGATTAATAGAGCTAAAATATTTCTATTACAGACTCGGTGATAAAATGAATGTTGATACAACTATGTTCAGACGGGCAGTTTGGAATTATATTCATTGTATGTATGGTATACGCCATGACGACTACAACTACGCGGAGGTTAATCAGATGTTGGAGCGTAACTTGAAAGCTTATATTAAAACAGTGACATGCTACCCAGAAAGACTTACAAAGAAAGACTATGATAGTGTCATGAGGGAATTCAAACATTCAGAAAAGGTAATGCTGCCGTCAAGATTATGTGGACAATATTTCTGTTCCATTCCTTCCTCTAATTTAATTTATTTATTGTTTTAGAAATATTCAATTGTTTAATATGAATTCCAAATATATTTCTTATAACCAAGTTAATATTGATTTAAATTATTCAACCAAGTTAATATGGACATAAATGATATGCATGAAAAAAAAAATCTTGTTTATGGGCATTCCATTTCAACTGACTCATTTTCAGCAGCTGTTGTAAGTAATAATAAAGTTGTATGTAATATTGACATTAGTTGTTATATTTGATATTTCTATGTTTTCAGGTACATGTGAATTTAATGTTACTTGAGGCGAGATTACAGGGAGAGTTGTTGTACTCTTTACGGGCGGTCATGCAGCATATGACGTGAACAAATTCTCCGTGTTTTAGGACACAAATATATTAATGAAAGTCTCCGTTCACAACGCATCTTCACACCTCTTGGCAACAGGCAGTTACCATGGAGTTTGGTTTCTATGGTGATGACATAGCATCACATTGGGTATTCTTTGTGCCACAAACTTTTACCAACTGACAACCTATTTTATTTCCACCATACTGGACAGCCTTACCAAGACGTTATAGATGTATTAAAGTGCCAGTAGTTAATTATACATGATAATGAACAGTTTTGTAAGATCTATATTTGATAGTTGAAAATGATACGATAATTTTAATGTAATTTGGATAAATAACTTGTCTCATTTGTCAAATATATCAGTCAATATATTAGGATATTTGTGACAGGTCATTAAAATTTTATCATTACTGGTTAAGATAGGTGTGTAAATTATAAAATTCCGCTTCTATCTAGTACATTATCAAAGTTTTTGTGATATGTTTTGATAGATATTCAAATCATTAGACATAACATTAAATTTTTGGTCACTAAAGAGTCATCCTAATTGTAATTTTGTTATCAAGTTTATTTAAATATTGAAACAAGGAAATACCTGATACTGTATTGTATTATCTTGGTAAGGATTGTGTGAATTATCAAAGAAACTATCATTTTAACAGATTGGCTAAGTAGCTTTGCTACAGTTAGGTGGTTTGCGTAGACTGTAGTGCCTAAAGTTAGGCAGATCTTGAGGATTTGATGGGCATTATAAGAGTCATTTGGTGTTGAGACTTAGTATTTTGTTACATCGAAATGGTGCATATATTTTTTCTTTGGCAATTTATTAGATGCTTCAAATTGAGAAGATTTTACTGTAACAATTATACTGAGCATTAAAGTTTGTGTAAATGATTATTTTTGCCATATTTTCCAGTGAGCTTTCAGTTTTGTTTGTTTAAATGTATAAATGAGAGAGATATCTGTGACATAAGGTCAATGACCTTGATTTTTTGACCTTGACCTCTGAAGGTCATGAGTGTTAATCCTTCATCTGTGATACAAGTTGTAGTATTTTATATGATTATAATTTGCGTTTATTTAGAACAGGTTTAATGAACAAAGCAATTTTCTTTATTTTTCTTTGAGAATATGTGTGCTGTAAATGTTTTACATGTATATAAAATGTAGGGTTAACCTTCCATAATGTATAATATTTCACTTTTTACTTTGATTTTAGAATTAAGTACCAGAATAGCATGTCGAATTTCCACAAGAAACCACCTAAATTTCTATGAAATTGTCATTTTAATATTTCAAAATAATTTTTTTAATATGTTAGGTTTGAAAAGTCCTTAAAAGTTAAAGCTTATATCAGACAATAACAAGAGATGTTTTGTTACATTGACAATTTAAAAGTCCTATGTTTACCACATATATTTTTCTTAATAACCTGAATTGTTTTATGTAGAGCAGAAATAAATTAGGCTTAAGGTTTTGAAGTGGAAATTTCACAAAATCATCAATCTAGTGTTTGAATTACTGGGAATACAGAATTTCAGTTTTAGGAAGTTTATTTTCTCGAAAATACATTTAATAAAAAGCTTTGTTCTTTTTCTTTAAGGATTCAAAAATAAGCTCTTTATAAAGAAAAAAAAACAACAACAAAAGAACAATAGTTGGTATAGGTCTGACAGATTTTGTAATTAAATAAGTAATGTTGGAAAGATGTTGAGTTCACATATAGATGTAATTATGGGAATGTATGTAGGCAGTATTGTGAAATATTCAGATAAGCTGACATTCTTTACCTCAAATAACTTATCCAGTATTATCTTAAAACTTCATTGTACACTGAACAAACCCTATTTAACTTAGTCTTCTTTAATCATTCACTTTTCTTCATTTTTGTTGCATTTCAAAATCATTACTTAGAGACTTCTATTTTGCCAATTTTATTTATGTTATGCCTCTCAGTAGGCAAATAAGTAAAGCAATTTTTAAAAAAAACAACCAAAAAACTTTTTTCTTTAGTTATTTGAAACACTGTTGATATTCAAAGATCGTATTGCAAGAAATAACTGTAGGAAAGAAATATGAAAATGAAACAGAAATGAAATAATGCAAGTGTAGAACATATATCTTTTATCAAAGTTATTCTGAAAATAAAAATAAAATCTGTTTCACTGTTTTAATAAGTTCTCATTACTTCACATTTGCAAATTAATGATTTTGTTTTGGACATTAGTGCTCATATTTCTATAGCTGCATCATGCTTATATAACCATTTACAGTTTGATGGACCACCTTTTTTTGTTGACATTAAATTTCTTATTATTTTGTTTATTATATTTGCATAAGATAGCAGTAGTTGTCTATATTAGACAATAAGTGTTCAGTTTTGAATAGATCAGATTAGAAGAGTCATATACATGTATGTTATGTGTACACGCATGTACACGTAGGCTCTAAATTTTGTTTTGAATTGTCTTACAGATAATGTAGGGTAAATTATTGATTGTTTATGTTTATTGTTGACTGCAAGGAACTTGAGATCTGCTCTATTTTGTAAGAATGAGTTATAATCAGATATCTGTTAGTGAAAAGCAAAAAGCTTGCTAAATAGGGAACAAAGTTTAAAACTGCCTGAAAACTTTATGGTACATGTCCCAACTTGACTTGTTCTTGTGCCATTTTTATCTTGCATGCTTTTCGCTTGCTGGGAAAGAATAAAAGATTATTCTGCTTGCAAGTAAGGTAACTGGTACAAGTCTAGTCATCAAGGTCAGATAAAACTTAAATGCTTTCTACCTGCTGTCTTATGACAGTAGGGTTACACATTTGCTGTCTACTAACAAGTAATATGCTTTCTCCCTAAAAGTGGGTAAAAAATTTACTAGCTGTCTTTATAAAGTGGGAGACTATAAAACTTGCTATCCATGAAAAAGTAGGTAACAGGCATTTTGATGTCTACAAGAAAGCATAAATAAAATGTTACTTAAAGTCTGCCTAAAAGATGTTTGAAATATTTCACGATTCTACATTAAGTGAGGTAACAAGTTGTTTGCAGTCATTATTATGGAGTATTTGTGTGTATATACTGTATAGAAGTGGAGGCAGAGCTATTAAGCTATAATCTCTTTTGTTAACTGTTCTGTGATAGATCTGATATGTGTTTTTTTTTCTGCACAAACATTTTAACGCTCCATCTCTGCCATTATGTCACTTGTATATTATAAAAGTTAACCTTGCTCGGTATTGTATTTCGTATTTTCTCAGTTGTTACTTTTTCAATTTGATATTAATATTTCATTAATAGCACAAATAATGAAGGTTAAAATCAAAATGAAATGGAAAAGAAGTGCTATATTATATTTGTATGAAATTAGAAAATAATTTATTTATTTTTGTAAAATTGTAATTTAATCATCAACTTAAAAAAAAATCAAAATGTAAAAGATTAAGGAAAATCAGTTTGCTTGATTATTATAATTTACTTTAAAACAAAAAGGGAATCAGTATGCATATGTAAGATGTGTATTAAAGAAACATACTTAATTTAAAATCATATGTTAACACACAAATTGATGACATAATAGCATAGCTGGTGTGTATGTATCATTTTTTTACCACAAGTCATCTGTTCAATACTCTTGTTAGTGGGCTGTTGATTATCATAATAGTAATGTGTGCGTTATTTTCTTCTCTTCAAGGCTGTTACTATAACATTCCCCTCCCCTTTTAGATGTTATATTTCAAGTAAAGATACAATCTTTTTTCAATTATCTTGTGTAGAATAGCTTGTCACAAAATTGATGGATTACACATAGCATTTTACTAAGACCCCCAGTGTTGAATTTATATTTTCTTGGGCAGTCTACATTTGAATAGTCAAAATACCTCAAACATAGCTAATAATTTTTATAATTTTTGTAGGATGATGCATATTTGACAGTAATTTTAGATAGAAGCCAGAATTGAGGTTTCATTTTAAATTTCTGTACATAACAAGCCATTAGCATTACCAGTATCTTGCCAAAGCTAATGTCTTCGAACAAATTTATGTTGCACAGATTGCACATTTGTTGCTAGTTTAGGGAAAGATTTCAGCTTGTTTTAACTGATTTTTTTTTTGGCTAAATGCTTACCACGCCACATTCCTTTTGTGAGTTAGGTACACCTTTGTTAATCGTGTAAACTTTACTTAAGGCTTTTACTGCAGAATGATTTTTTTTTGTCGTCAAGATTTATAAGGATAGGAAATAAATAAAGGGAGGTAACAGTATTAATCAGTTTTGTATATGCTTGTTAAGTAAACATTCCATTATGGTTTATTGACTGTTTTACTTGACTACCTAATGACTAGCTAATTAGCAGAATTTTATAAGAGTAAGTTAGATATGATTCAACCATTTAAGTAAGTAGAAATCTTATCTTGTGTGTTTATGATGGCTTGATGATTAAACACTGTTTGCTAGCTTATGTTTATTTAAAGTATTGCAAGAAATAGAAATTTTTTGGAAAATCAATGAGCTGCATTCTTAACCGAGTACATTAAAATATTTAAAAACTTGAACCATTTAATTAATACAGGAGTCACTTTAAAATGATAACTTGATTTGTCATATGGGTAATTTATGTGTTATGTTAGAAGCCATCTTTTCTCGTTTAAATATTAACTTCAGCAAATTACGTCAGCCTTTTCATTTAACATTGTGTGCAATATTTATAAAATGTTTTTATATTTCTTGTACATTTATATGAAACAGTTAAATTAGAGATTAGAATTATAGGAGAATTGAACAACAACAACAACATGAATGAAAGAGATAATCAGTTTACATAACACTTCACCAAAAGATATTGTAGAGACATCAAATGTCATAGTGCATTCTGTTTTATTTATTGTACTGTTACAAAAATAATTGAGCCACGTCACAACAAAACCAACATAGTGCGTTTGCGACCAGCATGGATCCAGACCAGCCTGCGTATCCGCACAGTCTGATCAGGATCCATGCTGGTCGCTATCAGTTTCTCTACTTGTAATAGAGTTGGTAAGCGAATAGCATGGATCCTGATCATACTGCGCGGATGCAAACGAACTATGTTGGTTTCGTCGTGACGCGGCTCATATGTTTTAATTGAACAACAACTTTTTGAATATAACATCGTGTTTTTATGTTGATATTCGAGTCGTAATAGTGATATGTTGATAAACACAGTAGTATAGGAATGCATATATTTGTGAAGCACTTATATTCTAGTAGATGATGTGTTATGTAGTAAAGTTTTAAAACAATGCATTTCTTCGACATCTTTTAGGTCACTATTAGTGATTTTTATTTTTGCGTACCACTATAACATCTAACAATGCACTATAGTGATTTGTTTTAACATGTTACTGTCAGTCAAAAATATAATCAAAAAGTTTGATACGATAGTTGACCAATGACAAGATAATGTTTATTGTAAGTCATCTTAGAGGTTTTTATTAAATTGCTGTATAGAATGTATATAATACATAAACTCTATTGCATGTATTAGACTAGCATTGTTTTCAAATATGTGCTTAGCTTTCCACACGGTGTTTGATATCTATAGAGAAAGAATATTGTTGTTTGAGATAACTTGTTGTATCATGTTAATTTAGAGCCTATATACCATCTGGCTTTGTGCTATATTGAAGAATTTCATGAAATAAAGAGAATCCAACTTGATCTCATACTTGCTTGTTTTTTTTTCTCGCAAGGAGGGAGATACCCATTTACCCAAAATGAGTTTTTTGACTCCTCAAATATAATGATGAAGAGGCACATGCGAGCCTGATTATCTACTTAGAAATACATTCCACTCAACAGCAGAAATTATATTTTGTAAACTTAGTGGTGTTGGCATACATGGTGACTTTGTCAGTTACAAACTGCCTGTACTGTAATGGCTAGTCAAAATATATTGACGTGCCAAAGCTTGATTCTGAGATATTTCGTTCTGGGGCAGAATCTCGCTTTTACGAGATATTGCCCAGACACGAAAATAGCACAATATCTCGTCGCGCAGTACAATTAGTTGGACTACTGTAATGGGTAGCCATTTGATGATCTATATATAAAATAGTACATGACACAAATTTCATTTCTTGCATAGCAGACTGGCATTTCCGTGTGTTTTACCCGGTAACTCGGCAAGCCTCACTAACGCCCAATGTCAATGGGCGGGACACCTCGGGACGGATATTCCGGTCCGAAACGCAACAAATGACATATATTATTAAGCTGTGATGCTGTACAAGTACAAATGATCATGACTGAGTGAGCTGAGTGACTTGAATTATTTTCCAGTCATTACAAGTTGTAAGCACTATATATTGATATCAGTTTGTCTGTCTGGTTTTGTTTGTCTAGTATAAAACTCAGTATCAACTTGATTTTTTTTTGTTGTTGAATAAATCCCATTGTCGAAAAATACTATGCCCAAGTAAAACTGTTACATGATTTTGTTGTAATTGTCCTCTCTGGCATTATTCAAACTTGATTAGCATCTGTGATGCGGTGGCATGTGTGTGTGAATGAGTGCATGTGTGTGTTATATAGATTATAAAGTGAACTTAAAAATCTTCTCCAATTTAAACCAAACTTGCCTTGTATGAAGGGCTTCCAAAGTTGTCCCGTGCAGAAAATGTTAAAGGTCATGACCTCAAGCAAGAAAAATGTTTGTTTTGCAGGGATATTTATGAAATGATTTGAGAAAATTATAAGTACATTATCGATTTACACCATGTATATAACATTAATGTTTTCAGAAATAGGTAATGCTTAATTGAGAAGATAGTATTTTAGAAAAAAATAACTGTAACTGTATTTCAAAGTTTAATACAGCTGGGACATACGATAATGTTATCGTATATCCCAGAATACAGCAATGGAATACAGTAAATACTTAAATTTTTGTCGAGTAAGAATTCCTTTTTGTTTTAATCAATTACTACACTATGGCCTTTGTATCTGAACATAAGACACATATGCCCTTGTCTTTCATTTGACAAATATGACATTGATCACCAAATTCACTAGACGGTAAAATTCAATTGTATAGAAACTAACAAAAATCTTCATCTGTTCCTACTATTTATTGTATAATTGCGATGGCATAGCTATTTTTTCACAAATGCAGTCGTGTTTGTATGGGACATTTCTCAAAAAGTAGTAGAATTTCAAAGATTGAAATATCTTTTTTTTTTGCCTTTTCACCCCTTCCTTTTTTGAGGCCTCAAATGGTAAGAAAATGATTTAGATTTAGACCCCAAACACTTGTTTTGGTTTGAGAAATGTTGTTTTAAAAGTGATCCCTTTTTCGGCGCTGCCCCTAAATGGGCATATCAATAAGATACATCACGAGGGTGCCAGAGGGAGGATCTGACCTCTTCTGCTCAGGAGTTTGAAGGTGGGGGGGGGGTGGGGCAGCAGCCTTTGACTCTCTCTCAGTCCATTGTGATGGAATAGATCACCTCAAAATAGTGATTTTTTGGCAATTTTGAGATGTCCCCTCGTTGCTATGGTAACAGGAAATTTAAGATTGAGCATGCAATTACAAAGGGCTATGGTCCAGTCAACTAATCATTAGTGCCAAAGTTGATTAATATTGAAGCATCTTATATAGTTTCATACCAATTTGAACTTGTAACAGGAGGCTTTTCAATGAAAACAGCCATTTCACAAAATGCTCATGCAGTAATGGGTCACACTTATTCTTGTCAGGGTCTCACTTAAGAAGTATTGCAGGTATCATCTTGAAACAAGATCACATTAGAACTGTAGTGCTTAAGAACCATGGCAGTTATAGAATTCAACAATTTTTGATTAAAGGGAAGTAAATCGACTTTGCATTTTTCTTTTGCATTTGAAGAGTTGTCGGTCTTAGGCTATTGAAATAAAGAAAAAGTTAATAACTTACTATCAAAAATTAACGTGACTTAATTACACACAATGTAAATGCACGAAACAAATTTGTAAAAAAAATCGCATTCCAGGGGTATATCAACAGTAGCAAGATATCAACAACAGCCAGATATCAACAACAGTATAAAAGGGTGGAAGTATGTTTGCCCTTGGGATTGATATATTTGATATAGTTAAAGTTGGGCAATTTATGTTGTGTCACTAAAAACTAACGATTTCTTATTGTTTTTCTAATAACATCTGACAATTAATCAAGTATGACATTCCTGCAAGTGTTGAAGTTAATACAACAAGTGACTTTATGTACTTTAGTCAGACATGACATCAGCGCCACAGAATTAAGAATGTGTTTGAATTTAGGTTGTGATTAAAAATTGGTTGTTTCGGGATATAAAAGGGTGGAAGTATGTTTGACCTTGGCATTGATATCAAAACATAGCTGCATGGCAGTGGGTGCATTTGTTCTAGAAGACGATTGTTAGAACCACGGGCTTTTTTTATAACAAAGGTATTACGATGATGAGTAAGAGGAAGTTGAATATAGGACCGGGTCTTAAAGAAATCAGAGATCTAATTCTGTTCTTTATATTAGGATGGATAGACACCCTTTATACTCTTTAATCGACTTAAAAATACAAGGCATGAAACAAATTTTGTCAAAATTGCAAGTTAAATCAGAGACGTGGAATATGACACATGCGAGAGAGAATGCAAATAAGATACGACTAGTAATTTATGTTTATATTCCTAAAAGCGAGCATGTGCTTCGAACTTTTCGAAAAAAGGACCTGTGCCACGTACAGTATACTTATAAATATCGACATATTTAGATGGCGTTGCCGAAATCATGTAGATTTAGGACAGTCAGTACCAAGGAGACTCTTTCAGTTTCTTCTTTTTGTTCATTATATTAGAATAAGTCACTCCGTTTTTAATATCTACTTTTTTTTTAAAAAAATCCGTTTCAATATGTCGGTCTTCATAGCCTCGTTTCCGTAACTAATTTTTGATGTTTTCCCTATGTTGCTTGTAAGTAGATTCATATCTTGCTACAATATGATGAAGATAATGAAGAAAGTGAGAACCCCCTTGCTACTGGCATTTTCCCGAGCGTTCCCGAATACAGGACAAATAGTACGCAAACACCTTCCTGAATACACACATCAGACAGAATTCAAGAAATATTCCCAAATCCTTAAATTACGGCATTTAGAAGAGACAATAACATAAAGGACATTCTTGTTCATAAAAAAAAATTCTTCCAACAACCAAATTCCTGCGCCCCTTGCAGATATTGTCCTTATATCATTAAAGATATATTATGCTCTATATTGATATTTGAAATTATTGATAATTGCTACACAGTCTTTTTTGTAAATATATTTTGACTTTCCACGCAGTGGATATATAACGTTTGAAATTCTATCCACTGTAAGTGGATATACTATGAATATCTTGCGTCATTAAAATAACTTGCATTTTTTTAAAGAAATGACAAGCTTAACTTGATCCTTAATAAGGGACACAGATTCCCATACACACTTGTTATATTCTTATGTCGAGTCAACGTCAAAATGAAACGTCTGTTAGACGTCGGTTTCAACGTCGGTTTGACGTTGTATTAAGGTCGCTGACATTGCGACGAATTTTCAACGTTGTTCCAACGTTGTGTCAACGTGGGGTGTTTGCTGGGTTTAACTATGTATGGCAAATTAGAGATTATATCTTTATACTTTTTCGAATATCTTTAACGGATTTTTTTTCATTGATAAAACACGGAAAATGTCAAACGAAATTAACTGTCCAATAAAGAATAATATTATATCATTCTTTATTGGACAGTTAAGTTCGTTTGACCTTCCCTGTGTTACGACATAACGATATTCGAAAAACTATTCGAATAAGTTCTAGGAGCGCAGCCTCTTGCAAGTAATCTTAACAATTTAAAGTCGCATTTCTTTTATATTATTTGGATATAGTTATTCAACATAAACAAATACAAAATGGAAATATACAATGTAATTGGATTCGTGCACAGCTACACTCGCCTGGTGACCTGTCTAATATGGTTTCTCCGTCTATGTACTCGTCCAAATATATTCCCTTCTATATTAATTTGTTACCCCCGCCTCCAAGTTAGGGCTCTCAACTCGAATGAGCAATAAACTGGGGGGGGGGTCAACATCAGAAAATTTGCATTTTTATCATTTAAAAGTTTTACGTTATAATAATCTGCCCTAATTTAACGTTTAAATATTTATCATGTTTTAATTTAGATTCTACCTTGTAGTTGATATAATGATGTCGATTTATCAGATATATTAAATCTATATATTGCGCATACGTACCACCTGTTCAAATAAAACCTTTCAATAAAATGAGGTCATTGTACATGTTTGAGTACAATAGTTAATTCTTAAGGGCATGTACACAGCTGTAAAATTGATATTGGACGATGTGCTAGCCGAGTCCACTATATGTTTTGCTGTTGTAGGAGACAATAGAATTAGTATTGTACTAAAATTAATAATGATTGGCATGTTTATTTTACACCACCGAATAACAAACAAAACAAATTAAAGAAAATACTACACAGTTTTTTTTAAAGAAAAAATACGAAACAGTCGATAACATCATCAATGAACTTATAAATTGACAAAGACGATCATGTCTTTATAAATTATTGTTAAAGTACAATATGAATTTGATATGGATTTCTTATGACTAGGAAAAAATGAAGATGCTAGATGGGGTACAATATG